AAAATTCAGCCATGTCTGTGAGTTTTGATAGGTCATTCCATGTTATCACTGCATAGTATTCCATTGCTTGGGTGTGATGCACCCCAGTTAATCAATTGAATTATTGAAGGGCATCTTGGTAGATCACAGATCTTGGAGATTATGAATAAAGCTGCTATCATTATTTGAATGCAGATTATTTTTTGTCAACATATTTTGAAATCTGTTAGATCAATTTTTGAATGTGCTTTTGTTGACTCATATAATAAAATTATGTTTATCTCTTTAAGATTGTGAATTAGTTTTGACTTTTCTCATAACTTTTATGTTTTATTTAGCCTTTCTCCCACTTACAGCAGAATTCAGGTCTCTTGTCTTATATGTTAGAGTTCAAACAGTTTTTTCTCTCCAAATGTTTTCACAATTTTGTCTGTGTTTCTTTGTTTTCCTTTTTAACTTTTTTGGAGGGAAACCATGGCCTATGCAAGTTCATTATCTTGAAAAGATTCTTACAAAAAGAAGTGTCTGATTCATTCCATTATTTACCACATATCCTTCTCATTCTCATCTTAACACTAAGCATATAGGATTCCTTTATATTACTAATAGCTCTTGAAATTATGCTTTTAAATATACTAATCTAACATATAGAGACAATAAAAGTAGAATATATAGGGTCTATTCACTTTGGGAAGATTAATGCTAAAGAGCTATTCAGTTTCTTATAAGGATTTAGCTTAAAATTTAGGTAATTTGCCACCAGAAGGAAAGTGATATTTAAAGGAATGATTTCTTTATTATCCTAAACAACTAACTACAGTAACAGCAAACTAAATTGGAGGTAACATTGTATATTTTTTTCACACAGAATGCTAAATCTCTGTAAATGCTATTTGTTTTTACAGATGAACAAATCCACATATTGCTATTTATTGTATTTAGATTTATTTTCTTATATTAACTGAATTCAGAGGAAAGTCAGAGAGAGTCCAAACGTCAGGGAACAATTAAACCACCTGGTTTCTATCCTATGCTCAAAATCTCTGCTTATGTTAACTCTCATTTTCATCACATAGAATAAGTGTCAAAATCATCCCATAGTATTGTTTCTGCACACTTCATTTAAATCACATATTTGCATTTGCTTTGTCCTAAAAACTTCTGGCACACACTTCAATAAGATAATATAAAAGATGTTAAAGGTGAAGCAAATAACTTTCTCAACCATAAACAACTTGAACTTGATATCTTGCCTCTATCTCTTTCATTAACAATATGTTACTTTAGCATTTTGAGTCCTATCTGTAGCCTGTGCTAAATACTTTAAATGCAGTCTCTGCTTTAGTTGTTTTCTCATGACAATTAGCGGTAGGTACTATTATTATCACTATCTTCTATTATCGTTACTACCTGTTCTACTAATCACCCATTTCTTCCAATTTCATCATATTATGGCCAATTTATGCTTTCCATCCCCCTGGCTCTTGGATAGTAGTCAAACTCATTCCTGATTTTTTTTTACCCTAGTATGATCTCCTAATTTTGGTAAACTGTTTCATAGATACATATGAGATACATATGGCTATGGAGTGTCTGTGGCTTCTGTGTGTATATGTCAATGCTATGAGGACGGGAGTTATTACTGGGGTTTTCTTCACGAAAGATTTTAGTAGTGAGGTGATCAAATGTAGAGCTATAACAATAAAACAACTGCTACTTACATCCAGTCCCACCTTTAGTGTCTGGCCAAAAATGCTGAAAAGAAGGAAGACCGTTTTCTCACTAATTGGACAATGGACAGGCTTGTCTCTGTCAGCTTTTCAAAGTAGGATTTTAAGATTCCTTACTCAATAATAGGTAACATTGGGAGAATATTTTGAAAAGTAAAACCGGAAAATAAATATCATTTATAATTATACCAGCCAAATATAATCACATTTAATTGGTTGTTTTACATATTTCCTAACTTTTAATAAATACATGTTAATGAAAATGTTATCATCCTTTACATAAGTTTTAGTAAAATTTGAAGGTTTTAAATAATATTAAATAATCTTTCAAAACATCCTTCTTAATTATCTTCAGAATTCTACCGTATATTTATCTGATACATCGAATTATGGAAAGACAATGGAGACTAAACCTTCCATTCAGAAATAAAAGCAGAAGGAGGATATGCATGGGGGCTTACAGTTACCATTTCTCTGAGCATAAGAAGAATATTTTGCCATGATTCTTGTTTCTTTATTTGTTTACATATTTAATTTTAAATCTTCATTTGCTAGCACTATTTGGTTTAGTGGAATGTATCATAGTAAAATGTGAGATAAAATGTTGAATCAAGTATTAGACCAAATAAATTTTTTGTTCTTTCCCGTCATTTTTAAGTACTAATAATTCATACTTAATGATCCCCTAGAAAATTATGGAGTGGAAGTAATAGGAATGAACCTAAGGCTATTAGACTTTTTTTTTTTTTTTGAGAGGGAGTCTCGCTCTGTCACCCAGGCTGAAGTGCATTGGCGCGATCTCGGCTCACTGCAAGCTCCGCCCCCCGGGTTCACGCCATTCTCCTGCCTCAGCCTCCCGAATAGCTGGGACTACAGGCGCCTGCCACCGCGCCCGGCTATTTTTTTTTTTTTTGTATTTTTAGTAGAGACGGGGTTTCACCGTGTTAGCCAGGATGGTCTCGATTTCCTGACCTCGTGATCCGTCCGTCTCGGCCTCCCAAAGTGCTGGGATTACAGGCGTGAGCCACTGCGCCCAGCCAGGCTATTAGACTCTTAAAGAACATACAGCTAAGCTCTTTAGACATGAAGATAGATGATAAAGACCCATGAGGTGTGCGTGTCTCTCTCTCTCTCTCTCTCTGTGTGTGTGTGTGTGTGTGTGTGTGAAGTGTGCCTTGCTCCATGTCTCAGGGCCTGGATGTCCTAACGTGGGGAAACTGTGACTCCTAGCTGCCCCTCTTCATGTTGTGGTCGCTCTTCATGGAGCTGGTCTGTGAGGAACTGTGAGTTTCCAGTTCTCCACCTCAACTTGTAAAGTGATCCTGTCTGAGATGCTGGGGGCACTAGTGCTGCTGCCACTCTGGTGCCTGTACTGCTGCGATAAGCAGCCTGTTTGAGTGGGGTGTCCTCAGAAGGGGAGTCTCAGGGTGTGACCTAAACTGTGTTATCTCACACAGTGATCTCATTTGGCAGCGAATTCTTCAGTTTTGCATGGCAGAAATCAGACATTTCTCTATGGATTTATGTTTTAGATGTGATGTGAGGCTCTTGGGGAGTAGTAGGTGATTTATTGAGTAAATGACCTTTACTTTGCCCGGTGAAGTGCTTGGCATGTGTAATAGTCTATAGGAAGCATTTAGTGAGAACACCATTTGTAAACACGTGGCTTCAGGGTGCTGACATGATGACTCTATTTCTGTAGTGTCCTGGGCAGTGGTGATCTTGGCCAAAAGCTCTTCCTTACTGACAGGAACAACAGCTGTTCTGGGTACCTAACCTACTTAACTGAGGGATGTTACGCTGGCTTCATTCAACACTCCTGCCCTTCCCGGAGACCGCTGGTGACTACTCCAGTGATTTTGAGTCTTTCCTTTTCCTCATTCTCCTTTCTTCTTATTCACTTCTAAAACCACATTATTGGAGAACTTCCTGATTAATGGTCCAGATAAGGAAGCTGTAGCAACATCACTTTAAATGTTTAATACACAATACTTAGAAAGGCTCACTGATTGCAGGGAGAGTTTTAAAAAGTTGTGAAAGAACAATCACTAAATGCATTGACAATATATGTGTTAAGTGAACAATATGTACCAAAATGGACAGATGAGAGGTGTACATTGGGGTATGAGTTGATAATCTAGCAGTTTGCGGGACTAGAAGGTTTATGGAAAAGAAAAAGGAAGAACATGCAAACAAATTAAAAAACACTGAGAAGCATCTAAAACTTGTTTGGAAATAGAGAGGAAGAATACATATTGGATTACCCTTTGTTTGTATTTTCCCTCAGAGTTAGACTTTAAGTGCTCTGACCTTCCTCACTCTGCAAACCTACTTTTAATTATTTACATACGATAATGTCGATGCAGCTTGTTCTCTATAGGATGTTCACAGGGAACCATATAGGCATGGTTCCATACATAGATTTTGAGTGAATACTTGTAACTTTGGTTTCCTTCTCTCCATTACCTTTTATAAACAAAAAGGCTGTAGTACACATCCTTAATGGCAGAAAGGAGCAAACGTGCTGGGGAGACTAGATCTTGCTCTCGAATCTGTCCTGGGATGCAATTGCCTCTACGAATGTAGTGTAGAAGCTATAAATGTGGTATAGAAGACAGCTTCAAAGAGGAAAGGAATATACGTAAAAATCTGGGGTTTTATGCGAGAAATAGGTGGCAAAGAAAATTTCAGTCTTGAACAGGATCAGCAGATAGCACAATGTGGTCAACCTGCAAACCCAGAGGTAAGTATTATTCTCCTCTGTTTATAATCCCAGGGAGGAGAGGTGACATGCCTGCCGTCATGGAACTTAGCAAAGAAAAAGCTTAGCTCAGGCCTTTGTTAGGTCTCTCCTTCCTTCTAGTACATTGGCCAATTGTAGGAGGAAAGTAGAGGTAGAGTTGGGTTCATGTACAACAATATGGCATTCAGCTACAGTGGATGAGGACAGGAAGTTTTATGACTCAGAGGGGGTAAGATAGGAAAGGATCATTGTTCCCAATCAAGAAAGAGAGCCCTGGACAACCAGTTAGAGAATCCCTCGATTATCTCTCTGACATAAGTCACTGAAACTGAGATCTAAGGCAGGTCCTCTGTGAGTCAGGAGCACTTAACCCAGTGGGGAGATCCCAGAACAGGATATTTCCTAGTTTGATAATCCCTCTCATGCCAGATATGGATACATTTGCAATTTACTTTGGACGTTGCTGGACAAGCCCACTTTTAGGCAGTTCCACTTCCCACTGGGTGGGGCAGCAAGTCCTATAAAGAGGTTCCCTGCTGCACGACTCTTAAACTCCTGGTACTCTAGCACTGATCTGCTTTGGAGAACCTGGTGAGTGTGAGTCCTTAAGTTCCTCAGTTCTTTATGCCCTGAAATGTTGAATTTAATCTGAAAACAGCAAATTTGGTTGATAAAGTTGACAAAGTGTGACCATGGGTTTGATGTTACTTAGTAGATGGAAATTTAGAATTAGAGTATGGTGATATTCTATTTTAGCTTGTTTCTTGTATACAGTTAGGTGTCCATATGGACAGAGAATTTAATAGGAAAGCTTTGAATTTAAGAAGAAAAAAGAACAAAGTATTTTTTCCCCATGTTTTCCTGGTGTCTTTTTCAAAGGTTTATGTCTTAACAGGTGCCAAGAGTCTACAATCCTTCCCAAACAGCCCTTTGTTCTGTGCTCAAATCAACCCACTGGGACTTTACTACAGATAATGATAATAGAAATGGCTTGTGAGATTGCTTATGGTATCTGAACTTGTCACTGCCTTTCCTAAAGATGTTATTTTCACAGAGATGACATGCTTGGTTCATTACTACAGAGATATTTTCCTTGGAAAAATTGTATGAGAAAACACAAGATTTCCCAGGGCCAAGGAAGCAATTTGCTAAAGTGGAAGGGGGAAATGAGGGAGTCTTGAAAAGGCAGTTAAGAGTTTAAATAATTTCTTGGAGGGAGCAATAATATTTCATGGTATTACATAAGCTTTGGCTTCTCTCTCTGGAGGAGTCCATTCCCGTGAACACTGTCGTATCATTTCTGTCAGATTCTGAGACTCCAGCAGGATGTCTTATCAACAGCAGCAGTACAAGCAGCCCTGCCAGCCACCTCCTGTGTGCCCCACGCCAAAGCGCCCAGAGCCATGTCCACCCCCGAAGTGCCGTGAGCCCTGCCCACCACCAAAGTGTCCACAGCCCTGCCCACCTCAGCAGTGCCAGCAGAAATATCCTCCGGTGACACCTTCCCCACCCTGCCAGCCAAAGTGTCCACCCAAGAGCAAGTAACAGCTTCAGGATTCATCAGGACCATGAAAGGATAAAGATAATGGGCTCACCTTGTTCCACAGCTCCACCTGCATCTTCTCACCAAAGCCTTCTATGGATGCACAGGGAGCTTCTTTCTCCTTAGCCAGTGACCTGCCCGTGATGATCCATGACAGCAAAAGGTTTCCTTTCTGAGGCTGCCATACTGCCACTGTCCAGGTGGAGCTGAGAAAAGGAAGTCCTGGGCTGTGCCGGCTTCCAGAGCTTCAGAAGAAAGAGCTGCAGCTCTCTCCCTGGGAACCATCAGAGAATTCTGTTGATGTTTTCTGTGTCTGTCTGTCCCCTGGGCATGAGCTTCTACCACCTGTGCAGTTGTCACTTTCCTTTCACTCCCTGAATAAAGTATCTATGCATAATATTTGTGAATGGATCTTTTGTTTCTTTTCAAATTTGCTTTATTAGTAATGTTATATGATCATTTGGATTTAGTTCTATCTTTCTCTTATCCCAGGACCAGGATTTCACAATTATTGTCATCTGAATTTTGGGTCATATCAACGATTATTTTTATATCATTCTAAACCCCTTTTATTTTCCTTAATTAGTGTTTGATTGATTTGAAGAACAAATCAACCAGGATTTTAATCTCTTTATTCCAAAATGTGGAAAATAATATTTATATCACAAACTTATCTTGGGCATAAAATGGAATTAATATCAGGAATTCAGTTGACACAATTCCTGACATATCATTACTACTCATTTGATAGTAGTCTATTAGCAGCAATACATCATCATGAAAACAGAACTACCATTTGACCCAGCAATCTCACTGTTGGGTATATACTCGAAGGAATATAAATTGTCCTAACATAAAGACACATGCAAGTGTATATTTATCCCAGCCATATTCACTATAGCAAAGACATAGAATCAACCTAAATGCCCATCAATAGTAGAGTGGATTTAAAAAATGTGATAAATATATGCCATTAATTCTACACAGCTATAAAAAAAAATCAGATCATGTCTATTGTAGCAATGTGGATCAAACTGGAGGCCATTATGCTAAGCCAACGAAATCAGAAACAGAAAACCTAATACCATGTGTACAGCCGTTATGGAAAACAGTATGAAAGCTCCTCAAAAGTTAGAAATAGAAATAATATATGATCTTGCAAACCCACTACAGGGTGTATACCCAAAAGAGATGAAATTAGTATGTCAGAAAGATATTTGCATTCCCCTGTTTATCACAGCACTTTGCACAATAGCCAAGATATGGAATCCACCTAAGTGTCCAGTAACAGATGAATGGATTAGGAAAATGTGGTTTATATACACAGTAGAACACTATTCAGCAACGAAAAGAATATAATCTTATTTGTGAGAACACGGATGAACCTACAGGACATTATGTTAAATGAAATAAGTAAGACACAGAAAGACAAATAATGTATGTTCTCCTTCATATATTGGAGCTAATAAAGTTACTCTCAGGAAGATAGAGGGTAGAACAGTGGTTACCAGGGATTAGGGAGTATGTAGGGGAGGGAGGGAAGGGTGGGGAGAGGTTAGTTAATGGGTACAAAGTTACAATTAAATGGGTATAAAGTTACAAATAAATAAACATAATAATGAATTATAATTTTTATTTATAATTAAACTATACAATTAATTGTATTATTACAGTAACAAAATATAAATAATACAATTTAATTATGATTAAATAATAATTAAATGGGTACAAAGTTACAATTAAATTAAAAAGTTACAATTGAATACATACAATTACATATACACCATAGAATGCTACACAGCCATGAAAAAGGAAGAAATCATGTCCTTTGCAGCAACATGAATGAAACTGGAGGCCATTATCCTGAATAAATTAAAATGAGAACAGAAAACCAAATACCACATGTTCTCACTTATGAATGGAAGCTAATCATTGGGTACTCATGACATAAAGATGGCAATTAAAAAGAATGAAATACTGATACATGCTACAGCAAAAATCAGTATTTAAAATATTATGCAAAGTTAAAGAAGCCAGACACAAAGGACCACATATTGTATAATATTATTTATATGAAATGTCCAGAATAGGCAAATTTATAGAACCAGAAAGTAGGCTTGTGATTTCTTGGGGTCCAGGGGCAGGGGAATGAGGATTGACAACCCATTGGTATGGAGTTATCTGGAGGAGGAGTGATTAGAGGATTCGGAAATTAGATACTGGTGATAATTGTGTAACTGTGAACCTACGAAGGACTATTGAATGTACACTTCAAAAGGGTGAATTTTATGGTATGTAAATTTTGTGTCAATAAAGGTATTTTAAAAACAAAGAAAATGGGCTCTTTTGTAAACATTAATGCAAGAGAATACAAGGAAACCAAAAATCCGCAAAGTTGGGAAACTCGATCACTTCTAAATAGAAAGATAAAATCGAGAATAATTTTGAGAGACAGAAGTTCTTTAAAACTCAGGTTTGGAGTTAAGATTAGATTAAGTTTTAGTGTCATCACATCTAAGTTTATTTTTCCAAATAGTGTCAAAGAAGCCACAGTTGAGGAAGAAAGACATGGAAAAAGGAAGGAATAAATAAGCACAAGAATTTCATCTGTGAAAGAAATGTGGGTATAGTTACTAGCATATAGAACTAGCTAGAAGAAAATAGATTAGAAATCTACTAAATTTTTGAGGAATCATATTCCCAAGGTAAGCACAAGCTAGATCTTAAAACAAAACAAAAGGAAATGAAGCAAAACAGCTTTCTAAGAGCCTTAAACCACACTTTGTTAGAAAGTGAGCTGCATTCTTCCCATCCATGGACATGGAATTTTTTCATTTGTTTGTGTTATCTATGATTTCTTTCAGCAGCGCTTTATAGTTCTCCCTGTAGGGATGTTGTATATTCTCCCTTTCATCTCCTTGATTATATGTATTCCTAGTTATTTTTTTCCATGGCTATTGTAAATGGGATTCCATTTTTGATTTGACTCTCAGATTGAACATTATTGATGTATACAAATGCTACTGATTTTGTACATTGTTAAATGGCTATACCGCCCAAAGCAATCTACAGATTCAGCACTGTTCCTTTCAAACTATGAATGCTGTTTTTCACAGAATTAGAAAAACCTATTCTAAAATTCATATAAAACCAAAAGAGAGCTCAAATAGCTAAAGCAATCCTAAACAAAAAGAACAAAGCTGGAGGCATCACATTACCTGCCTTTAAACTATACTATAATGCTACAATAACCAAAACAGCATGATACTGACACAAAAGCAGACACATAGACCAATGAAACAGAATAGAGAACCCAGAAATAAAGCTGTACACTTACAGCCATTTAATTGTTGACAATGTCAACAAAAATGAGCAACAGAGAAAGAACTCTTTATTAAATAAATGGTGCTGGGATAGCTGGCTAGCCATGTGCAGAAGAATGAAACTGGACCTCTATCTTTCACCATCTGCAAAAATTAACTCAAGATGGATTAAAGATTTAAATGTAAAGCCTCAAATATAAGAATCCTGGGAAAAAACATAGGAAACACCATTCTGGACACTGGTCTTGGGAAAGAGTTTATGACCAAGTTCTTAACAAGAATTGCAATGAAACTAAAAGTTGACAAATGGGACTTAGTTAAACTAAAGAGCCTCTTCACAGCAAAAGGAACTTTCAACAGAGCAAACAGACAACCTACTCAATAGGAGAAGATATCTGTAAATTATCTGACAAGGTCTAATATCCTGAATCTAAAAGAAACTTAAACAACATAACAAGCAAAAACCAAACAATCACATTAAAAGGTGGGCAAAAGATATGAACAGACACTTCTCAAAAGAAGACATAGAAGTGGCCAAAAAAACGTGAAAAAGTGTTCAACATCACTAATCGCCACAGAAATATAAATCAAAACCACCATGAGATCTCACACCAGTTAGAATGGCTATTATTTAAAAAGTCAAAAACCAACAGTTGCTGCCAAGGCTGTGGAGAAAAGAGAATGTTTATACACAGTTGATGGGAATATAAATTAGTTCAGTCATTGTGGAAAGCAATTTGGAGATTTCTAAAAGAACTTAAAATGGAGCTACCATTTCACACAGCAATTCCATTACTGAGTATATATGCAAAAGAAAATAGATTATTTTACCAAAGAGACACATCCACTTGTATGTTCATTGCTGTGTTATTCACAATAGCAAAGTCATGGAATCAACCTAGGTGCCCATCAACAGTGGATTGGATAAAGAAAATGTGGCACATATACACCATGGAATGCTACACAGCCAGAAAAAAGAATTAAATCATGTTCTTTGGAGTAACATGGATGGAGCTGGAAGCCACTATCCTAAGCAAATTAATGTGAGAACAGAAAACTACATACCACATGTTTTCACTTACAAATGGGCGCTGAAAAATTGGGTACTCATGGACATAAAGATGGCAACAATAGACACAGGTGAGTAATAGAGGGGGGAGGGACCGAGGTGGGTATGGGTTGAAAAACTACCTATTGGTTACTATGCTCACTATCTGGGTAATGGACTCATTCATATTCCAAGCCTCAGCATCGCACAACACACCCATGTAACAAACCTACAAGTGTATACCCCTGTATTAGTCTGTTCTTGCATTGCTATAAAGAACTACCTGAGACTGGGTAATTTATAAAGAAAAGAGGTTTCAATGACTCACAGTTCCAGAGGCTGTACAGGGAGCATGGCTAGGAAGGCCTCAGGAAACTTACACTTATGGCAGAAGGCAAAAAGGAAGCAGGCACATCTTCACATGGCAGAGCAGGAGAGAGAGCGAAGGTGGAAGTGCTACACACTTTTAAACAACCAGATCTTGTGAGAACTCACTCACTATCATGAGAACAGCAAGGGGGAAGTCTGCCCCCAAGATCCAATCTCCTCCCACCAGGCCCCTCCTCCAACACTGAGGATTACAATTCCACATGAGATTTGATGGGGACACAGAACCAAACCATATCAACTCCTGAATCTAAAAAAAAGTTGAAATTATAGAAAAGAAAAAAATAATAAAAAATTTAAGAAAGAAAAGTGAGCTGCAAAGCTTACTTAACCAAGAAGGGCACAATCCACCATACACACCTCAGGTTTGATCATAGAGAAGAGTATTAAAAAAAGGATAATTCTACAGATGGCAGAACAATGAATAGCAAAATTAAAAGGAGTTCCTTTCAGAGAACAGAATTAACACTTTAAAAGGAACTTCTACCACTTCTGGTTATTGGAGTGGGAAGACTGTGGCTTCACAATGCCTGCCCCGTTGGATTTCAGAGTACTAAGGCCTAGAGGCCTCCATGTGTCACCATTATCTTCCTTTGAACATGGTAGTTTTGATTTAGCTCTCCTGTACCTGCATTGTCATTGGTTG